CTTTTTTTTTTTTTAGAGACAGAGTCTTTCTTGGTCACCTTTGGTAGAATGCCATGGTGTCTTAGGTCACAGTATCCTTAAACTCTTAGGTTCAATTGATTGATCCTCTCGCCTCAGCCTCCCAAGTAGCTGGGACCCTAGGTGCCTGCCAAACAAACACCTGGCTATCTTTTGTTTGTTTGTTTGTTTTTGTTTAGCAGGCCTGGGCCGGATTCAAACTTACCAGCCCCACAGCATGGGGCCAGTGCCCTAACCACTGAACTATGGACGCCCAGTCCCTAAGTGTTTTTTGATGCTATTATAAATGTTGTGTTTTTTAAATTTAAATTTCTAGTTCTTTGCTAATACAGTAAGTTAACCATCCAAGGGACTATAACAAATTGGTCAACATGCAGAGGTAGTCAGCATAAGGAACTAGGCCTACTGTGCTGATATGTACATGTGGTGTGTGTCTGGTCTATGAAATTAGGAAACCTTACGCAGGTGGTCAACTATGGAGTTCTCCTGTCAATAGAAATAAAGTGTATTTTTCTTCTTTCTTTCTTTCTTTTTTTTTTTTTTTTTAGAGACAGTCTCACTTTATCACCCCAGATAGAGTGCTGTGGCATTACATCTCACTGCAACCTCCAACTCCTAGGCTTAGGCAATTTTGCCTCAGCCTCCCAAGTTGCTGGGACTACAGGCAAACGCCACAATGCCCACCTATTTTTTTTTGTTGTAGTTTGGCTGGAACTGGGTTCGAACCTGCCACCCTCAGTCTGTGGGGCCAGCGCCCTAGCCACTGAGCCACAGGCACCACCCATAAAGTGTGTTTTTCAGTATCGATGTTGTATCATGTAACCTTGCTAAATAAGCTCACTTGTTCTAGTAACTATTTTGTAGATTCCTTAGAATTTTCTACATTTATGATAAATGATCATATCACATCTGCCGATGAGGACAACTGTACTTCTTCCTATATAAGTTAGATGCCATTTATTTCTTTTCCTTGCTGCATTGCACTAGCGAGGCCTTCCAGTATAATGCTGAGTGGAAGTGGTGAGGGCAAGCATGTTTGCTTTCTTCCTTATCTTGTGGAGAAATCAGGTAGTCTTCAACCATTAATTATAATTTTCGGTATACGTTTTTCCTATGCCCCTCTCCACCTTTTTAAAGACAAGGTCTTACTCTGTTGCCCAGGCTACAGTGCAGTGGCATTGTCATAGTTCACTGCAACCTAAATTCCTGGACTCAAACCATCTTCCTACCTTAGCTTCCCATGGAACCAGGACTACAGGCATATGCCACCACACCCAGCTAATTTTGGGGGCTTTTTGTTTTGTTTGTGTTTGGATATTTTGGGTTTATTTTTTTTATTTTTTTTATTCCTCTTAATTTTTTATCAAATCATAACTGTGTACTTTTGGGGGGTTTTGTACAGATGGGAATCTCACTATGTTGCTCAGGCTGGTCCTGAACTCCTAGCCACAAATGATCCTCCCAACCTTGGCCTCCTAGAGTGCTAGAATATAGGTGTGAGCCAGTTTGTCCAGCTCTTAAATGTCTTTTATTGAGTTGAAGTTTCCTTACATTCCTAGTTTTGAGAGGTTTGGTGTGTGTGTGTGTGTTTTTTTTTTTAACTTTTTTTACTTTTTTGGAATTAGAAATGAATGTTGGATTTTGTTACTTTTTTTTTTTTTTTTTTTTTTTTTTACAACTACTGAGGAATCTCTGTAAGTTTACCACTCAAAGGACTGTACCAAACTAGGCAACCTACAGGGGTGGTTAAAATAAGGAATTAGGCCTGCTATACTGATATATACATATGGTAGTGTCTGGTCTATAAAAATTAGGCCAACTAGCTCAGCGCCTATAGCTCAACCGGCGAAGGCGCCAGCCACGTACACCTAAGGTGGCGGGTTTGAATCCCCAGCCCGGACCTGCCAAAACAACAAGGATGGCTGCAACCAAAAAATAGCCGGGCCTTGTGGC